GACAAAGGAGGTTGATTTTTTTTTTAAAAGATGTATTTATTATGGGGCCTACAGGATCTCACTACACAGATCGGACTCCTAGTGATCCTCCTATTTTCAACCTCCAAAGTGCTGGGATTACAAGTGTAAGCCACCATGCCTAGTTTCAGTCACTGGCTCAGCGCCCTGAGGGTGGGGCCAGCACCACACCGTGGGTATTGAACCCCAGTTGCTCAGCCTGACTAAACAGGTGCTTTAGTTCACTGAGCTATCTGGCCAACCCAAGAGGTTGGTTTTGAATGTGTTTATGTTCTATGTAACCCAGACAGAAATTCTAGTCAGCTCAACACTGTTGCCTGAACTTAATATTTGCAAAGTGTGATTAAACTTATCCATCACATTATAGTACCTGCTTTTAACTCACACCTTTTCAAGCAGGTTTGTGAGAAGATGAACATAGAGTACACAAGTCTTCACTTATATACAGATGTTAGGCTTTGTAGAGGTAGATTGCTGGTCAGAGTTTTTCAATTACAAGGACCACTGTAGAGCTTTCTAAAAAGCAGTCACCACTAGTAACACTGGATGGGTTACAAAACTAGCTTATTCATGTGACATGATCAATGGACTGAATTTTTCACTTGAAAGGATATTGAAACACCCATAGAAGTTTCAGTCTTTCACCTACCAGTGTGGTATGTGGATGGAGAGAGAGAGAGAGAGAGAGAGAGAGAGAGAGAGAGAGAGAGAGAGCTCCTGGGGCTCTGGGATAACTGATTGCTTTCCATAGGACAAAGAGCCATAAGTTAGAGTGACCATGCTTTTATGCTACCGTACAATCAGAGAGATGTGTGTAAGTCATGGCAGAGTGCATGGGAAGAAAAACTTGGCAGGCATGGCTTGTAAAGAAGGAAAAATCACTCTTGCATCAGGCACTGTCTCTCCAATTAGTGTTTCAACAGACAACTTGATGTTTGGAAAGCTAGCATCTTTACTGCAGGGAGTGTGTGTGTGTGTGTGTGTGTGTGTGTGTGTGTATCTGTCTATCTATCTATCTATCTATCCATCCATCTATCTATCTACTTATCTGAGTCTTATGATCTCAGCAGAGATACTATCTTATATCGTAGCCCAAAATTGCTGAGTAGGGTGTTGTTTAATTTCCATGTATTTAGAGTTTTTTTCTGATTTCTTTTGTCATTTATTTCAGTTTCATTGCACTGTGGTCAGATAAGCACATAACAATCTTAATGTGCTTAAACCACCCCCAAACCACCATTCTGTTTATGAAAAATTAGTCTTCCAAATAACCAATCTCTGATGCCAAAAAATTTGGAGACTGCTGGTGTCACAGGCTTCTTCAAGGACTATCTTATTCTCAGGGAAGTCCTTGCATTGTTTTTCTTTTTGGTCCTGAGGATCAAATTCATGACCTTACACTTGCCAGGCAGGCACTTATGCAACTGAGCTATCTCCCTAGCCCGATCTTTGCATTTTGTTTGATTTTAAGTATTTATAGTAAGGAGTCTCAAGGATTGTGCACAGATTCAATGGTTTATTGGAAGGAGTTACAAAATTAAGAAAGCTGTTACATTCATAGTTATTGTTATAGTAAAATGATACAGGTTAAAATTAGCTACACTAGGGGGGCCTGGCTCTAGCTCAGTCCTTTAAGTGGCTGCTTTGGCAAAGCTGTCAGCCTCAGGTTGCTGGAGTTCGAACCTCACAACTCTCCCACTGGCCAAAAGTGCTGTGAAGGCATTCGAGGAACCAAAAACAAAACAAACAAACAAACAAAAAACCTTATTCCATTAAAAAAAAATAGCTACACTTAAAGGAGCATAAGGTAGAGTCAAAGAAGGAAACCAGGCACACATTTGGTTATTTTCTTCTGGTAGAGTTGTTCAGGCAGTGTTTACTTATCCCAATAATGATTGAGGCTCAATTTTTTTCATTAGAGTTGGTCACACAGGCATGGGATACTTGTAAGGCACATTTTTGTGAGTCAGTCTTCAGCATCATAATGGTCAAAACTAACAGTATATAGTTGAAGTTTCCTCCACTATAAATGGCACACTTAGAATAACTATTTGATATGGCCCAAGGCTTTAACTGAACAACTTAGTTCTTAGGAATGACATTCATTGTATCTTTGCTGACCATTTTGTGTTTAATTAGCTCCCTTGTAAAAATACTTCTAGATACTTTGCCCTCTTTCTCTACTTATGGCATTGCAAATCACTTACTCATTAATAATGCAAGTAGAGATCTTATTTTGGCTATTCCAGTATTGCATTCATTGACACAAATCATTAAGTCCTCCACAGGCACCGGGTGCATGCCAACCCTATGCCCTTTGTTGTCTTTTCAAGAGCTGAAGAACTCAGACTCTCAACAACGGTACCTATATTTATGAGTTATTTGAATTTATAAACTGTTTTTGAAGTATTTTGTAAACTTTAATGTGATTTTGTCTATAGTCAATGGAAGAAAACATAAGTGTAAAAAAATCAGTCTGTAATTTCTGAAAAGTTATTTCACTACATTCAAATGTTTTGTTCTTTAAAATGTAGCACACTTGAACTACACAGATGTTAAGTGTGACATGTTCCTATTACTAAATCCTCTAGAGGTAGTAAAATCTGTTTAGATTTTCTTCTGTGGGAACTACCCAGCATGCTGTCTTGACCTAAAGAGGAAAGTAGTTGAGCTCTCTGAAGTCAATATTCATCAAAAAATGGGTAATCAGGGTGATCAGTCCACCTGCCAAGAGAAAAGGAATCAGTTCACTCCATGTATGGCACAGTTGCAATGTTATTAGCATCTTCGATCACTTCACTGACCACATTCACCTCTCACTCATTTGAGCTTTGATTCTCCATCACTATCCCCTCTTCCCCTGTGTTTCTGTAGCTCTGGAGAGAACCTTAGATGTGAGTGCATGTGGTAGGGTATGTAAGGGTTGGCTGTAGCACACACCAACACTTCACCTAGAACAAAAACAAAGGATGTGAGTCTCGCCTCCCTAACTTTGTGTGTAAGGTAATGTTACTTGTGATGATGGCAATGCTAACTTTATCTTTTACGTAACAATGGACAAAAAGCATAGAAAAGTCTGGAGCATGTGTATTGCAACCATAGAAACAGATCAATAAGATACATGTCCGAACTCCATGGATAATTAAAAAAATTATTTGATACAAGGTCTTGCTACACAGTTCTGACTGGTAGTGATCCTCTTGTTTCAGTCTCCGCAGTGCTGGGATTACAGTCCTGTGCCACCACACCCAGTTTTGATGGCTGGCATGATGCATCAGGGATTCTGGGGCTGACACAGAATGTGGTACTGGGGATTGAACTCCGGTTCTTGTGTTTGCTAGGCAGCTGCTTAGACCTCTGAGATATTTCCCGAGTCTTCTATGTATAATTTTCATAAGCTTTTGCTAAATTCCTTCTTGAAGAGATTACAAAAAAATCTATAGAAGTGATTTAGTGAATTGGAGAGATGAATGGACATTGATTAAGAAAAAAATATGTATTGTATATAAATATATATTTGTATGTGTGTGTATAAACTATATTAGAACCTCACACATGCTAGGCAAGCATTCTACCTCTGAGATAAAGCCTTAGTTTAATATTATTTTATTTTTCAAAGTACTGAAATATTTAGAGAATGAAAGGATACTTCAGTTGGTTAGCTGAATGTGGCCACATCTTGAATAAGTACAAAATTCTGCTCTGAAAAATCAGGTAGTAGGGCAAATAGAAGCTTTTCATCTTACAGGCAAGAAAGTATTTGTAATGCTAGGTTCATCTTTCCCTACCTGGTGTTCTTTCTGAATTATCATACCTCTCTCCAAGAAATATTTTTTCATAAATTTGCTCTAATTTTTGTGCATCACTTTGAATTTTAGGAAAAAAAAATGTTACTTTGATATTTATGATATACAAGTTAGTTCTCTTTAGGGTTTTTAGTCTGCTGTGCCTTAATCTCAGTGACAGTATGTCATAAATGTTAGACTTTCTCATGCAGAAGTGTTGTGTAGGTTCCTCTACAAGGTATGTTATACTCAAGCATAGCTAATATTCATAATGTGCTCCCCCCCTTTATCCTGGAACCTCCCATGAACATAGATCAGGTTCCTATGTAGCATCCTGGATGGTTGACATTTGACAATCTAATACCACAGGGCAACACCCAATCAGTGATCTTCCAGAACTTACATAAACATGTCCACATAGCGGATATTTTTATTTAAGGCTTCAATGTTGGCCATTTCCTCTTCAGTGAGAGAAAAATCAAAGATCTAAATAATGGAAATAAAAGACAGAACAAATTTGAACCTAAAACTGGGACCACACGGGACTCAACAGTGAAAGCCTTTCAAAAGTGGGTGGTCATCTCTGTAGATGTCTGAGGAAAGTTGGGCTAGTGATGGGGGCCACCCACCAATGTGGAGTTGAACACTGTATTTTTCCCTTTATATTCGATACAATTCTGGTGGGAACATCTTGAATAAAATTTCGAATATTCTGAAACGTGTTTAGGAAATCTGAAACTTTGAAGGTAAAGAGTTCTTATTATTTTCACATAGGATGCTGAAGATTTAATTTTGGCCTACCTACTATTATATAGTTCTGTTTTTAAAAATATTTCTGCTTACAGCCTCCCAAGAGCTGGGATTACAGGTGTGCACCACCACGCCAAGTCTCAATCGCTGTCTCAGCCCACCCTGGGGGCGGGCCCCCCATGGTAGGCTTGGAGATTGAACTCCTGCCCCCTGTGCCTGCTTGCAGATGCTTTAATCTGCTGAGCTATTTGGTCGTCCACTAAATTTGTTTGTTTTTAATGTTTAATTTGCTTTGTATTATCCATGAAATCCTTTCACTCATCATTTTTAATGTCTCTTACTTTCTTATTGTAAACTTGTTTTCCTTAGTTTTTATATTCTGTACACAATATGATTTTATTCTGTGGCCTTCATTAGCATTTTAATATATTTTTTATATTTAGTTTATCTGTTTATAATTCTTCTCTTACTTTACTATCTTTCTATACCTTAACTTCTCTTTAATACAATTAATGATTTATAAATTTTAATTATACAAGTAGGGCTGGGGATATAGTTCAGGAACATAAGTGTCTGCCTGGCAAGTGCAAGGTCCTGAGTTTGATCCTTGGTACTGAAAAAAAATTATACAAATAGTTCATAAGTAAAGCAATATCTCAGTACATGAATGCTTTTGATCACAACTTCACTGTCAAACAAGACCTTTTGATAAAATTTTGAATCCATTTTACAAACCCCACATCAAGTGAGAAACAACCTCCATCATCTTCTGAGAATGAATATAAATGTGGCTGTCTTTCCTTGAAATAATAAAGCAAATTAAGTCATGAAGTGTGGTACCATTATATATGCTTGTTATAAAGAAGTAAAACAGTACAGAAATAATAGGCAAATAATAGAATAAATGAGGAGAGTTCCTCTAATTATTTGCTATCCCTGCCTTATTTCCCTTTCCAGATATTCCTCCGAAGTACTAAATATATTTGGAAGAGAGATGCTCTTAGCACATATCTTTATTATTCTGTAGCTTTCTTTATTACATAACTTGAGTAGTGATATTGTTGACCTTTTCTATCAAAATATATAGACAGACAATTCACTTAACTCACTGTTCAGAACACAGATGAACATGAATGATGCAATATGATTACTAATTGTTCTATGGATAATTTCTGAACACTCTCTTCATCGTATTCTTTTTTCCCATAATTTTATTGAGAAATAGCAATGAGACAGTTTCAAATCAAATTGGTAAGACAGTTCCAATAATTAACACATTGCATACTGCCTTCCTAGTGGTTATTTGTTGTACAAGATGCAGACATGATGTCCTATTTACAAACGCTATTAGAACAAATCCCTCTATTCCTTGAATTAAGAGAATGTAGCTATATACCTATCCTAAGCATTTTGAATACACAGATGCAAAATTGTCATTCATCTGTATCCCCCTTTTTTTGTTAAGTTCTATCATTTAAATATTATAAGTGTGTGAACTCAGCAAAATATTCCAAAATAGTCCAGTAGTTCATAATAGTATTGGGTCTTTGACTTGACTGGCAAAGTCAGAAGTTGTTGACCTGAGTCCCCTACAGCCCAACAAAACAATATGGCTTTATTTTTTGTACTTTGTTTTTACACTTTTCTGCTGGATGGTCAAGTCTATGACAAAGCAAGACCTATGTAACAAGAATTGTAGCTTTTCAATCTAATAAGGTCAGTCAAATCCCCTCAGGATTTATCCTGAGACCCTGTACCTCAGATTGTAGATCCTTTGTAGGATCTATCTGATTGTAGATCAGTGTCAGACATGTGGATGAGTCACGACCATTGCTTGGCCAATGTACTCTCTCTGAAAACCTGAGAGAAAGATTTCTCCCCATGTGACTGTCCTTAGGCACACTCCACATCATCAATCACTTTCCTCTTTGGTCCCATAATCTCCTTGATCAGAAAATTTGGGACACAACTGAGTTACATGATGGTAGAGTACAAGTTCTCATATGTCCTGAGTCTTAACTGACCTTGGGAGACTAGGGCCAAAATGTTGGATTTCTTTGTGGCCCTCCTTTTTCTATAATTTTTGGTCTGCAAACTTAGGTTGTTAACCCTCCAGGAGAGAAGCTTTTCATTACCATATAACCTAGGCTGTTGAGCTTAACCTCACCTATTCTCTGAATGTCAAACATTTTAGGCATAACATGGAGCAGGTATTTTTCATCAAGTATTGATATGTTAAACTTTAAGTCCCTACAGAATATGAAAAAAAAATTAAAATATATTTAGAAAATAGGAATAAAGAATTATATATGTTTACACATAAGTCCAGAAATTGAATCATATACAACATTGTTGCAGGACAGTCCTGCAACACTCCTTTTCCTGTCTCCTGCCTTCATTCACCACCTCTTTCCTTTTAAACAATCATCTACCTGAGACACAGCATAGCAGCAACTGATGTGTCATAAGTAGCATTTATTCAGAGGACTAGAATGACAGGCACTCCAAGCATGAACCTACTATTACAAATTGCCATCTTCAGTGGAGTTGCTTAGTTTACAGGTGTCAGCATATACGGTTAGTCAGGGTGAGAATACCTCCAAATAACTGCTAGATTTGAAAATCTTCTGAAGATTCTCATGATCATTGCCCAACTCATCTTCTACATATAACTGTATGGCTTGCCACTGTCAGGTTTCCTAGCTCTTCTCCTTGCTCTCTCTTCATTGTTTAGTCCTCAAGTTCTTGCTTTCCTTTCAATTGTATTATACCTTTCCACGTGTATTTTGTCTTTTGAGGTCTTATACTAGAAAAATTATATAACATTTAAAATGTTTGTCTGATACATTGCGCTTATCAGTATATTTTCAAGTTGCATCCACTTCAATATAAAGGATTCGAGTTTACCATTCTTTATACTGAAAAATACTCCATTGTGTAAAAATTCCACATGGTGTTTTGGATAGATCTTTTTCATCCATTGCTCAGGTGATGGGCATCTTGGTTGTTTCCAAGATTTGGCTATCACAAATTGTGCTGCAATAAACATAGTCACACGTATATCACTACAATAAGTTGTCTTCAGTTCTTCTGGAAAAATTCCCAGAAGAGGAACAGCTAATTTGAATGGGATTTCCAGTTCGAGTTTTTCAAGGATTCTCCACACTGATTTCCATAAGGGTTGCACCAGCCTACATTCCCACCAGCAGTGGAGAAGGGTTCCTTTTTTCCCACATCCTATCCAACATTTTTTTTTTTGGTTAATTTGTTTATGATAGCCATTCTTTCTGGGGTGAGATATCTCAATGTTGTTTTAATTTGCATTTCGGAGATCACTAGTGATGTGGAGCATTTTTTCATATACTTATTTGCTTCTTTAATTTCATCGTCTGAGAAGTGTGTGTTCATCTCGGATGCCCATTTCTGGATTTGGTCTTTAAGTTTTGGGGCCCTAGTGTTTTTTAGTTCTTTATAAATTCTAGAGAGCAGACCTATGTCTGAGTACTTATTTGTCAAGATATTTTGCAAATTTGTGAGCTGTCTTTTCACTTTGTTGATAATTTCTTTTGATATGCCAAAACTTCTCAATAAGAGCAGGTCCCAGTTGTCAATTCTTTCAAATGTTCCCCATGCAATTTGATTTCTGTTCATGAACTCTTTGCCTACCCCTATGTCTTCAAGAGTTCCTCCTACTTTTTCTTCCAAGAGATTTAGTGTTTCTGTTTTAATGTTTAGATCTTTAATCCATTTTGACTTTAGCTTAGTGCATGGTGATAGACCTGGGTCAAGTTTGATTTTTTGGCATGTAGAAAGCCAGTTTTTCCAGCACCACTTGTCAAAGAGGCTATCTTTCTTCCATTGAGTATGTTTGGCCATTTTGTCAAAGATAGGGGGACTGAGTGAGTGCGTAAGGGCTTCATCATCTTATGATCTATATAGTTTTCCCCCATTTAGAATTATGTTAGCCATTGGGTTTTCATAAATGGCTTTTACCAGATTGAAGTAGAGGCCGTCTGTTCCAATTTTCTGTAGGACTTTGAACATGAATGAGTGTTAGACTTTGTCAAAAGCCTTTTCTGCATCAGTTGAGATGACCATGTGGTTTTTAGTTTTTCCTCTATTGATATAGTGTATTACATTTATAGATTTTTGAATAATAAACCCTCCTTGAATCCCTGGGGAGAATTGGACATGTCATTGTGTATGATATTCTTGGTGATTTGCCGTATTCTATTTGTGAGGATTTTATTGAGGACTTTGGCATCTATGTTCATGAGGGAGATTGGCCTATAGTTCTCTTTTTTAGTTGTGTTTTTCCCTGTTTGTGGTATCAGTATAATGCATGTCTCCAGGACTCATTTTGGGAGGATTGCTTTTCAATTTCATTGAAGATTGTGAGGAGTATAGGAACTACATCTTCTGTAAATGTCTTGTAGAATTCAGCTGTGAATCCATCTAGACCTGGGCTTTTCTTTGTTCATAGGTTTTTAATTACATCTTGAATTTCATTGGCCATTATTGGGCTAGTGAGAGTGGTTTTATCTTGTTGATTCAGTTGTGGTAATTTTTACTTTTCTAGAAATCTGTCCATTTCACCTGTTTCTTTAATTCTGTGAAAGTAAAGATTCTCAAAGTAGCTACTGATAATCTGAATTTCCACTGGGCCTGTGGTAATTACACCCTTTTCACTCCTTATTGCTTGTATTTGAATTTTTTATTTCCTCTTTTTGATGAGG